CCAGATTAAAGAGTCCTTGGGCTAGAGGAGGAGGAAAAGAAATATGAACAGGAGCTGGGGGTTCAGGAAAGCCCCCATGCTTGGGATCCAGCTTCCAACACCATCATATGGGGTGGCACAGGGATGGACATCAGTGGCCCTCACTGCCATTCCTGGAGAAACTCGACGTGTGGGATCCCTGGCTTGATGATCCAGCACAAAAATCCTGCCTCTAATTCCGAAATGCCCCACCCTGTGTAGATCCCCCCCCCCCGTGGATACACATGAGCTCCTAAAATCTGCACTGGATATTGGGGTGCAGTGAAGGGAGTCCCCACCACAGGACAGAGTGGGCCTAAGGCAGGTGGCCAGGGACCTCCCAGTGGCCCACGCATCCTTTTTGCTGCCTTGGGAAGCCTGATGTGGCCCCAGTGGTGGCTGCCCTAATGTTCCACGGAGGAGGAAATCCCTTCTGCGGGCACAGAGTCGACACCTGAGTTTCCTGTGGGGCTTCTCCAAGCATATCCAGGTTTTAGAATATGAAGACGGACATCAGAGACATTGTCGTTGCTATTTCTTTCCTGGGCTGCTCCATGGATGGGTCTAAGCTGCTGGACCATCTCCCCGCCAGATTCACTTAGCAGGAATTTGCCTTCATAAAAGGCTATACCTTCATTTTTAGGAGTGTGATCTTTTATACCACCTCTCTCACACACATATAGAAATATCTGTCTGTTGGAAGAGAGGAATTACATTAAAAATGTGAAAAGAAGACTTTAAGCTTAGGAAGAATATTTTTGAAAGCTGACAAGGTACACAGAGGGTATTTATTTCCACAGTGGAATTTGACTCATTAAGGACAGACCCACTTTGAGACAGAATTTCAAATATTGATTATTTAAAGCTTCTTTTACTAGATGAGAAAATGTGTAGCTTGGCTTATGATCTCAAAGATTCAACTATCTACCAGCGGGATAATTAGCAAATTTCACAAGATATTCATAAATCACAAAATTATTCATAGGCTTCTCTATTTAGGGCAGCCTCCATGAGCTTATAGGGTGCGTATTTCCTCATAGGCAGAGAATACTGCTTTTAGTGTCTCAACATTATAACAGATTGGCTACAAAGCAGGTTCTAAGACAGGTGTGTTTTCTTGGGGATGGTTCACTGTTGATAAAGTTATACCAATGATGAATTTCCACACTAGTAAGGAACCCATCCATGAAGAACAGTCAGAAGGAACAGAAATATTTTTTTTAGGGCAATCCCAGGATTTAGGTTTTCTGAAATCCACAAAACCAGAAAGATCCAAGGGAAAATGAAAGCTGTAGCCTTCGGAAAGTTTAACCAGAAATGGCTATTTGATTTCCATGAAACTCACACAAGAGAGGAAAGTATTTGTGTGAAAGTCAAAGAAAAAGAGAAGCAAGTTGTGATAGGAAAGATTTAAAAGACTGTTTGGGGGCATCCCCAGAAGCATCCGTGTCCACAACCAGGAACCAACTGGGGCTGAAGGGAATGAGCTTTGCAAGGCCCCACATGATAAGCAAACCCAGGGGGCCCAACTGGAATGGGGAAGTTGGAGTTTGAACACAAATGGGAAGTTGAGTCAGGTTTCAGACTAAGATCTGAAAGGACTGGGTTCTCCAGTCTAGATCCGAAATGACCATCGGTGAATCCCAATGAAAAGACAGCCCGATGGCCCTCTCCCTGGGGCAGGCCGGGGTGACAGGACACACATCTGGGGCCTTCGCCTCACTGGATAGGCAGACCCTGCTCTTCAGGGGCTCAGAGGCACCTGGATGACATTCAGTCCCCACACCCCCTGCTCAGGGCTTCTCCCCAGGCTGGGGTATTCTTGGGGTACTGGGACTCTGGGATCCTTGCCCAAATGGCCCTGAGCCCTTCTCTGTGGCCTGCCTGGGTCTTTGTCACCTTATTAGAGCACAGACCCTGCTGGGTTCTCTCTGGCCATGCCTGACCCTACTCCCTAGGCAAGGAAGGATGGTGAGGTCAGGAATCTGCTTCCCTCCACTTCCAACTCAGCAGCTGAGTCACCTCATGGCGCTTCCCAGGTGACACCTGCCCCCCCACCTTCCCTGCCTTTAGTTTCTGTTCACTCCAGATGCCCTGCATTCTTGAGTCTCTACATCTTTGCTCATGGATTTTCCTTTCCTGCCTAGAGTTCTTTTTCTCCCCTTTAGTAAATGCCGACCTACTCCAACCCAACTGCACCTTCCAATGTTGGAAGTATCCTTCTCTGCTCTCCCACAGAAGCATGTGGGGGAGCTGCCCCTAAGTGGGTCTCCCCACAAGACAGTGGGCTGGTGCAGCATGAGGCTCTATCTCGGGCTTCCAGAGGGGTCCAGCCCAGCGCCACTGTATGCGGGGGCTCAGAAATGCTTTCTAGATGGCTGGGAGCAGGAAATCTATACTTAACTCCTTGCAGCTTTGATTCGTGCGTTCATCTGGCCACTGAAATGCCACAGGTGGGCCCTGGCAGCGTTTTTTCTTACATCCAATGATGTTCATCGAACAGTTCCTGAGCATCCTAAGAGCTTGAGGCACCATGGTACATGAAGGGGATAAAAAGAATCTCTCATTCCTGCACTCAACTGTGCAACCTTTGTTGTTCAAGCACCAGACACCGTACAAAGAGGCTTCCTCATGAGGTTTACATCTTATATCCTTGTGGGGAGGATAACACAAGATTTGGCCCTTGACCTTGGGAGGGCACCAGCAGGTCCACCCTACCATGCACCTCTGCCACATAAAAGCTGGAAACCGGCTCCACCCTGCACCCCTTGCATGTGTGTGGGTGCCCCAGGAAGCAGGTTCAAGCTTCTCTGCCAGGGTCTCTTCCCTCCAAGATGCAGAGCTGAGGCTGTAACAGCAAGCACAGGCCCTCTGAGCAGAGAGTTGCCGAGAGCATGGTCTTAAAGGGGTGGATGCTCACCGTGGCCCCTGGACTCCTTAGGATGCAGGGTCCAGGACAGGAGCTAACTGTGGTATTAAATACTAGTGATGACAAAGTGCTAACTTGCAGGCTTGCGTCCACTCTTGCAAGGGAGTGTCTAAGGGGGATTTATCTGTTTTTGTCCTGCTTTGCCTACATGTCCCCCTGAGAATTGTATTATCACGGAGACCAGAGGCCTTATGGCTACTCTTGGCTCATGAGTGCAAGGCAAATGCACTCTGCTCTGCCTTCAGTTGGATTCAGAGGATCTGCCAGGGAAGGTGGGGACAAGGTGGGAAGCCAGCCACAGGCCACCACACCACCTTGGAAGGATGGAAGCTCGTGCTGTTTGTGCTGAGAGTGGAAATCTCCTGTCTCGGCCATCAAAGCATGTGGGTGCTAATGGCTGCAGGGGAATTCTGGTTCCAGCTCCAGGGACTGGGTCTCCTCAGCCTGGAGACAGGGGAGGCTCCTCAGTGCCGAAGGTGGCAGCTGGCGTCCATATTAATCGCTCTGCACCTGTGACTCTCCTAAAGGGCAGGGAGGATGGCAAAAGGTCTACCTTATCTGGTGTTTTTAGAGAATGTCTTTGCTAAAAAAAGACTTCTCATGGCTTTTCTTCAAGGGGAGGGTTCTGGGAGGTTGGGGCAAATGGGGAAAGACCTGAAGAGCTGACTGCTTTCACGCAAGGGGAGTCAGGCTTAGGGCAGCTTCAGGTCCAGGGAGGCTAAACATCTTGTCAGAAGCCACACACAAAACAAGGACAGCGGGCCTGGTTCCAAACCCATGCCCCGTCCAACTCCAGAGCCCAGCGTGTGCACTGAAAAGGAAGGTCTTTGACCCCTGCCCTTAAGTCATGGTGGGTTTGTGACTGTAACACAATCTGGTGGATTGTTCACCTAATGTCCCTCTCCAAGCGCTGGGCTGTGGCACGGGGCCGTGATGGAGAGGCCCCACGGAGGCACTCTGGCCAACAGTCCCAGCCGACCTGGTGCTTTGGTCACCGCAGCCCGGACACCAGATGTGATGCCAGAGAAACCCTCTTGGGTGGGGGGGTTCTCTGGCACCAGGGGCTTTAGCCCTGCTGCTGGGGTCACTGCCGGGCACCTGATTTGTCCCCTCCCAGGCCCAGGTCCTGTGGTACAGCATTCCCTCCGTGCCCTTTCTGAACTCCCGACTCACAGAACCCATGAGTAACAGAGAGTGGTCACTGGGCATGTCACTAAATTTGGAGAATTTGTTTCACTGCAATAAATAACCAAAATGGAATTAAGAGAATTCCAGGGGAGAGTGAATACCATAGAGATGGGAAAGCACAGTGACGTACCTAGTCCAGAATTTGGCCTGCATCTTTCTGATTCTGCGGCCACTCCTTAGATATATTTTCATGCACACACCCTCCCCACTCTCTCCAAATGGGGACAAGGAAAACTGAAGGCCTCCCGTCCCCTGGGTCTGCTGAGGAAGCGCTAGGGCAGTGGTAGACATTAGGAACCAGAGCAAACTTTTCTTGCTCACCTACTCTATGTCAGATGCTGTGTCAGTGGCAATCTGTTAATTTCACAAATACTTTGTCGTTACCACGTGCCAGAAACAGGTCTGGGAAAGAAGCCACGTGCAAGACCAAGTCCCAATTCTTCTGGGCTTGCGTGTGAGTGAGGTTGATGGGCAAGAAACAAATAATGATGGCATACTATGTCAGATAGTGGTCAGTGGTATGGAGAAAAACAAAGTCCAAGATGGGGAAAGACAATGGCATTTTAGAGAGGCTGGTTAGGAAAGGATTCCCCAAGAGGGTGGCACTGGAGGAGAGAGAATAAGGTTAAATAGTAGAGAGCAAGTCCGGCTGAGCTTGTAGCCCACGGTTTAGACTCTGATATCAAGAACACATCGTTATCTTCCAGCTTATGAACCTGCAGCCTCCTACAGAGGGTGCATTTGGAGACTGTCCTCCACGGGGCTCAGAGGACCCACGCCAGGTGTGCAGCTCACTATGCCCACCCACCACCGGCCAGGCCTCCCCTCAGGACCCTCCAGGCAGAGCCCCAAAAGGGGTACTTACGCAGAGCACGTGGAGAACCACCGCCCCGTGTCTTCGATCCTCGTTGGTGAAGATGTCATTGGGGAATTCGTGCAGGGCTGAAAAATGGAGAGAGAAAACCAGCTCAGAACAGAGGACAATATTTTCAGTGCTGGAGGACTGGGATGGGTGTGCCAGTCCTTGTCTTAATGCAGAATCCATGAACTTAGATGAGAAAAAATTACATCTTTACATTCACACATCTCTACCTGGAATTTAGTGTTTCCTTCAGATAAGAAGGTAGGTGACAAACCTCAGGAGTGTGAGAGGCACTGGGGACTTGGCCCCCAACAGATAAGTTTTCACGATACATTACACTATCCTCTGGTTCACCGCTGCAACATTTGGGGGGTTTTTAGATCACCCCTTGTGATTTAAAGTGTTCATGAGGAACTACATGAACCAACTTCATGCAAGTTTATTTTCTAACACTCCGACAACTTCATTTCAATATGATCAGTTTCCTTCTGTAAGCTTATATAGTTGATCACATGCATTGAAAAATGGTGTTCTGAGCAGAGGTCTGTAGGCTTCCCTGCATTACCAAGGGGGCCCATGGCACACACAGGGTTAAGGCTCTAAACTATCCCTCCTTTCCCACCAGGACTGCCTTGGCTTGGGGTCTTGGGCCTGGTGCAACACCTTCCCTGCTCTTTCATTTCCTTTTCGAACTTGACCCACATTTGCCACCGCTGACCTGGACTATCAAGCACAGAGCTGCTCGTGCCCCCTCCCTGCTCCCAAACCTTCCCTCCTAGGAGAGAAAAGCCCCGTCTGTACACTGGCAGTGCCAGGCTCTTCCCCACTAGAACTTTCTTCTCTTCTCCCGCCCTTTTATACTTTGCACATGCTCATTTGCTCAGTTACTAACTGAGCAGTTACTGCGTGCCAGGCCATACTCTCACTGCTGGAAATTCGACAGTCAGCATTGTTGCATGTGCTCTCATATTCTCGCCAGTACAGTATCATTTGCCATTCCTTGAGCACACTTTGCATTTGCTTTCTTTTTATATCTTTATCTGCACAGATTATACCATCAGCCCAGGATATCCCCCACCCCCAAATGATCTTCTCTCCCTGCTGCTCATAAAATCCCATCAGCTTCATGGCCAGGGCCTTCATGAGGCCTCCTGTGGCACCCATGGCTCTCCTCTCTGGAAGATGCATCAGACAAGGCTCTGTGGGAAGCTGTGCACACTTCTTTGCCCTTGGCCTCATCTTCAGCAAATGCGGCCAGCTGATGAAAGCAGCCTTTCTCTCGGAGCTTCACAAGTTCTTCGTCCTTCTCCAGTGCACGGGTGGGACAACTATCACCAGTTGATGGGGAGGATGTACAAGATGACACCTGCTTGCCATGTGTCTTGCTTTGGGTTTCCCCCAAAGCAGACCCTTAGGCAAGGATTTGGGGGTACATAGTTTATTTGTAGGTGACTCCTGGGCACACTGTGAGTGAGGAAGGGGAGGAGACCAAGGAAGGAGGAGAGTCAAAGATGAGTTAGTGGGTGACCACTCAGGATGCCTGGGGCCCAGTCTTGCTGCAGACCAGGGGAGAGTGCATAGAACACGTCTCTGGTTTACAGCTTGTTGGCCAGGGGGTTTGTCTAAGACACAAGCCTTTGGTTATTCCTTGAGAAAGTTCTGCTCTCTGCTTCCAGGGCAACACCAGATAAGGACATCGTGCAAGTCAAGTCTTCGCCAGAGCCATGGCGGTGGTGGTGAAGCCAGAGGGTACATCCAGCATATTAAGCATGGATCACTTGTACATGTCACAAGTGTGATCACACTTGCTAGTTTTGTCCTATCCTTCATGTGATGAAGTGGGGGGGATATGGAAAGACAAGGAGGTCATGATCCACCCCCCCCAAGTGGCTTTCCAAGCTAAAGCTCTTCCAAACAGGCTGCACTGAGTCCTCCTGATCAATGGATGGGAAAAATGAGGGCAAGCCTGGAGGATTTCACTTTGAAGACCAAATGACACTACAGTCTGGAAATTACCAGGAAGGGACAGGGTTCACAGAACAAGCTTGAAGTTTATCCCTCAGGCCCTGGGCACTGCAAGGATTCCAGCCACTTTACTGAGGTGTCTCTGTTCTAGCATCTTTCTTCTATGGGCCTAATGCTTCTGGCTGGTGTGCTCTTGTCCAGTGAGCAGAGCTTGCTGAAGCCCTCCAGCCTCCCTGATGAGAATCCCTTCGACTTCCTCCTCCCCAGAACTTCCCTGCTGCCAACAGTGCCCACATAGGCTGGACCTGGAGAGACCTGGTCTTTGCAGCCCCCAGTCAATTCCTGCCTGTCCTTCCTTCCACACCTCCTGGCTCTCCTTGTGCACACAGGCTGTCTTACACTCTTAGAAGATGCTTTCTCACACTTCCTCCTTTGAACTTCTCTTTCAATTCACCTGAATAAATTTCAGTCCGAATAACCATCCCATGGCTCTCACATTGCCCTCCCCCCGCCCAAGTTGCTCAGTATGGATCAGAAACCACGAGAAATGTCCCTTTCTGTCCACTTCCCAAACCCAGGACATTGACGGTCTCTGTGGGCCACCCCCACGGTGGGGAGTGGAGCAAAGGTAAGGAGAGGAAAGGCCCTGCAGGGTGGGCTGGAGACCTTTCCAGCACTGACTGGTCTCCATGTTCACCTGGACTTGCACAGATCTTCTGTCCCAATCCTTGGTTCTGAGAAAACAACAACCACCATCCGCATCTTTGCAACTTCTCCTTTCTGATGTGCCCTTTGTACTATATAGACATTTTGGTGCCCTGGGGAGGTAGGGCTTGGGATGGGCTGGCTGGTGATGGGCTGAGATTGGCTGAGATGAAGGCTCTGGTGGGCAGAATACACATTCACTGAGCACCTGCTCCTGGCAGGCACCGTGCCTTGCCCTTTATACCCACTATCCATTTCTGTCCTCACAGAAGGCTATTACTCACATTTTGTAGACAAGGAACCCAAGGGACAAAGGATTCGATTCCATACTAGAGGATCCACAGCTGGAAAGTTGCAGAGCAGGGCCACCCACGCAGCATATACAGGCCTGGTAACGCCCCTTACTGCTGTTATCCCAGCTCCTGGCATCTAGTTGCAATCTTACTCTGCTAGGTGGCCTCTTCCTTCTTGGGACTTCCTCCAAGTAGAGGATCTGATCAGATCTACATTCTGCCCCCACACACCAGAGGGAAAAGGTAGGCTGTGTGTTTGTTTGTTTGTTTGTTTTCATATTTCTTTGTGTAGCTGCCATGGTGCTTTCCTGCACTGGCCAGTTCATGGTATAAATGTGACCATCCTATTGCCCTCCTACCTCCAGAGAATCTGAAATGGGACTAGTATGCTAAGTTAATGTATGGATCACAACGGCCATCACCCTCGAGAAACCAAAGCCACCTGTGATGGGTGCCACACAAAGCAATCATGCATTGGGACTACTAATCATCAATGAGGAGTAGAGGTGGGTACAGAAGTGGGAGCTGAGGTATGATCTGTCACTGACATGTTAAAGCCAGCTACTTCTTTACTTCCTGCCCCTCAGGCTTCCTAGATGAGGAGTAATGTGGTTTTGAGCAAAAATGGGGCTGAGGGCAGCGTGTGAAGGGAGTGAAGGCCACGCACTGCAGCCCCACCAGTCTGCATCTGCAAGGTGTCCACCCTCGTGTCGGCTCCAACCTCCCCGCTTCTCTGCTGCTTCATCTGTGAGGTAACCCAGGGCCCCCACAGTGTAATGATTCGATCAAGGGTACCATGTCAGTAAGTGATACATTATGTTCTGAATCCAGGCATTTTGATTTTAAATCCTCTGGCACTCAACAAACAGCCAAGTGGATGAGTGTGATGACCATGAATAAATGGACCCACTAGGCTTCATGTTGGGGAAGGGTCTTGGCAGAAGTCTTGATGGCCAGCCAACCCTGGAACCTGGCGGGAGCTCTTGGAGAAGACCGTGCTGGAGGCTATGCCCTTGGATGAGGTGGGACCCACAGAGCCAAGTGCTGGCTCAGGAAGGGCTGAGGCGCTGTCCGAAGTCCTGGCCAAACAGGCCACTGGCAAACTTCTTCATGAAACAGAACCTGGCGGGTCAGTGGCTGAGGTAAGGGGTGGGTGTGACGGAGGGGTGGGGAGGGAAAGGCAGAGGAGAGGCAGTTAAGTGTTCTCAAATCAGTCTGCTGCAAGAACAACAAAGTTCTTATTTGGTGGTTAACAGCAATGTGGAAAGAATGACCAGGTTCATTATTCCCCAGGAAGCTTCTGACACGGATCCCACTCTGGCTAGTTATTCATTATAGGTCCTCTGTGAAAACATGTATCGGGCTGGTGATGAAATTATAACAATAATTTCAAAGAGCTAATGCACAATTTGCAAAGAAGAATACATAGATTTTATTTTCCTCCTATAGATTTATCGTCTTTTGACAAAAGTCACAAGAAAAGATTTTTAAAACTTGAGCAGGAGGCCCTCTCCTCTTGCCTTCCACGCAGTCGTAAACCTTCCTTCAGAGGTTCCACATGCCTATGTTTGAGGCTGGGTCCCTCAAGAGCAGACCTTGAGACAGAGATCTGAATGCCAGCAGTTTATTTGGGAAGTAATCCCACTACAGGGGAGGAGGGAGACAAATCAGGAAAGGGGCTAAGACAATAGGTTCAAACTTGCTGAGGCCCCTCTGAGAGATGGTGTAGAATATGCCTCAGTGCTGTCCACACATGCTCATCCATTACTGTTGAAGGCTGTCCTAAACCCTTTAGGGCTGGCCCTTAACACTTGTCAGCTCTGCACTGGTCCAGTCAGTGTGTTCATGGGACCAGAGAAGGCTGAGATAGGGTCACAGATACTTCAAGAAACCATGTTCATAACTGTTGGCCATTTGAAAAATGGCCTACAATTCCTCTTCATTGCTCCCTCCAGTCTAAGCTCAGAGTACAGTTAGTGCACACAGCAGGTGTTTAATAAGTGTCAGCAGAATGAAGAACGCTAAAGGAAGCAGATCCTGGACACTGACGGGGGATGGAATATGCCCATCTTGTCCATCTGGCCCAACCGGTCAAGAAAAGGGCTGCTAGCAGCAGC